ACACACTAAATAAAAATTCTTAAAAGATAAAATTTAAAAGCTAAAATTGGACTGTGGAGATAGTTCAGTGGATAAGAATGCCTGCTATATATACATAAGGACCAGAGTTTGGATCCCCAGCACCCATGTAAAAGAGCAGGGCATGAGAAACTCACAAGTGGTCCACATGTTGAGGATAAGTACCTGTAACACACACTACCTCACACATCTATATCAAACCATTTCCCACAGAGGCTTGTTCACAAACTATTGCAGAAAGACTGAAGAGCCAGAGGTCAGAGAGGGTTGAAACAATGCCCTCTGAATATGACTTGGCAGCTGTGCTCATGAACTCAGTAGAAACTCACAAGTGGTCCACATGTTGAGGATAAGTACCTGTAACACACTCTAGTTCACACATCTATATCACACCATTTCCCACGGAGGCTTGCTCACAAACTATTGCAGAAAGACTGAAGAGCCAGAGGTCAGAGAGGGTTGGAGTGAAACAATGCCCTCTGAATATGACTTGGCAGCTGTGCTCATGAACTCAGCAGCTGTGTGTAGTGGTCCGTACAAGACCTGTTCAGACCTGAGCCTGTCAACATTCCAGCTTGGAGCTGGGCAAGATCATTAATCCCAAGCCCTAGATGGATAGCTTCTCAAGGAGAAGTTGTACACAGGGAAGTGATGCTTCTGGGTTAACCTTCTCAGAAGATTTTTTTGATGACAAAATGGGGTGGGGACAGTTACTTAAAAAAGAAAAAGAAAAAAAAAAAAGCAGAGGGGGACAATGAGATGACTCAGCAGGTAAAGGCTCCTGCTACCAAGTCTGAAGATCTGAGTTCCATCCCTGGACTCACATTTCCCATGGTGAAAAGAGAAAACAGACGCCTGCAAAGCATTCTTCTGTCTCCACTTACACCTCCTGGCATGTGAATATACAGCCAGGCATGACAGCCCGTGTTTATAATCCCAGAAATCAGGGACCAGAGACTTAGTTACTTAGCAACTTCAAGGCCAGCTCTGAGACCCTATCTAAAACAAATATATGTAGTTCTGGCTGGCCTGGAACTTGCTATATAATCCAGGCTGGCCTTGAACTCACAGAGGTACACCTGCTCTGCCTTCCCAGTGCTGGCCTTAAAGATGTGCACCACCATACCTGGCTCAGTGTTATGCCTTTGAGAGAGGATATCCTATGACCCAAGATAGCCTCAGACTGGCTGGGTAGCCAAAGATAGCCTTGAATATCTGATCCACCAGCCTCCGCCACCGGTTCTGGGATCACAGGTGTAAGCTACCACTCCCAGCCAGGAACACCTAGACTACTCTTTCCAAGCCTCCATGATAGACTTTGAGCTGTTGTTTGTTGTTATGTTGAGACTGGATATAGCCTTGGCTGGCCTGGAACTCACTGTGTAGACTAGTCTAGTTTAAAAATTAAGGTTCCTCTGCCTGGAAAGTGCTGGGGCTAGTCTGAGTCAGCACACTTGGCTTCATGGTACATGCCTCCTCGTCCAGCCTATTTGAATACCATCTCCATACCTCTTATGCTACAAGCTGTCTTCATCAGTTTCCTTCCCCATCCCTGAGATGGGACATTCTCCTCCCTTGCTAACCTTCCTCAAGTCTCATAATAACATCATTCTCTCTCAATAGAAAGCAAACATGATGAGGGCATGTCTTGATTATTATACATTTCTGATGCCCTTTACAGAGCCCCCAAGGAAAGAGGGGAAAATCCTCATATAGGAACAGCCAAGAAATATAAGAGGGGAGAAGGTGTCGGCCAGGCTGTGGGCTGTGAGCTGTGAGCTCCCTGGCACAACCTCAAGGACCAAGCTGTGTTGACCAAAGATTGGGAAAAATTAAGTTGTGGTCAAAGAGGCAAAAACCAAAGCAAACCAAAGTGATGCCAGCGCTGTAGAGGTGATGCCAATGTTAATAGCCACTGGGTTGGTGACATATGAGAGTGAAAATCCACATTTGGGAAGACTGAAACTGCCAGCATGGGGTGTGTGGCAGGTCAGAGTGAGAGGCTTGGAAGATGGACTGTGAAGAAGAAAGGCAACAAAGGGCCCATTCTCAGGGGAAGGGAGGCTCGGGTCAGATCTGGTTATCTAAAGGCATGGGGCAAGTCAAGACGAAGATTGGAGCCTGTGTTTTCTTGTTGTTGTTTTTTCTATGATGCTGGATATTGAAACTAGAGCCTCACACTTGTTAGGCAAGTGTTCTACCACGGAGCAACATCCCCTGCCCTCATTTTTGTTTTTGACCTATTTTTTTTATTAGTTCTAGTTAGGGAAGAAGCTTATTTCAAGTCCCTTGTCCCTCTCCCTCCCCTCACCCCCAAACTTCCTCCCCCCCCCCCCCCCCCCCACTCCCCAGGCAGGGTAGGGCCCTCAACGGGGGCTCTGCACAGTCCACCAAATCTTCTGTGCTGGGTCTGGGCCCTTCCCCATGTGTCCAGGGCCAGAGTGTGTCTGAGATGCTGACACAAATAATTCATGTTTTCAATACAACTGCTCCAGTTGGCAGAGCAGTGTGCTCCTGCGCTGGTATGCAGGCTGGCATCACACTTCTCCATGAGATGAACACCATTAAGTTTGCCATTAGGTTGCAGCTTCACAAATGCTGGGACCCAGTAAGTAGGCTTCTCCTTTTTTCTGGCTCTCTTTTTAATGATGTCTTTAACTAAATATAGTGGTCAAGTTGGCAAAGACAGGCCAGGAAATAGAACCCAGGACCTCAAACACGCCAGACAAAGTCTCTATGACTAAGGCACACCAAGAGCGCCAGATGTCAGATGTAATGGAGAATTTCAGGTGAGGAGAGGGAGAGAGGGAGGGAGGGAGGGAGGGAGAGAGAGAGAGAGAGAAAGAGATGGAGTTGTCCCCTATGTGCCAAGGTGCAATGGCACACAGCTGCAATCCCAGCACTTGGGAGGTAGAGTCAGGAGGATCAGAAGTTCAAGGCTACATTAGATACCCTGAATCAAAAACCTAAACCAGACCAAAACAAAAAGCCCCCAAAGTGCCACATTCTGAAATATTAGTAAAATATACATAATGCAACAGTTCCCATTTTAACCATTTGTGTGTGGGGGGCGGTGTTCTTGTCCATATGCACTTGTGAGGAAGCCAGAGGAGATTGTTTGTTATCCTGCTCTATCAGTCTCTATTCTCTTGACAGGACTTCTCACTGTACCTGGAGCTCCCTGTGTTTTCAGCTAGGCTGGTGACAAAGCAGCCCCCCCACCGCCCCCACCCCACCCCAGTCAAGGCCAGATTGATCTACAGAGAATTCTAGGACAGCCAGGACTATGCAGACAAACCCTGTATAGAGACCCTCCCCCCCAAAAAGAAAGAAAAATGTAATATGTTAATGATAGGTTCATACATCCATTCTTTGTATTTTAATCATATTCATCCCACCCCCTTCCAAATCTATGGCCCTTTGAACATAATCTACTAGGTCCAATTTGTGCTGCCCTTGTCCTGAAGCACCAGTATGGGGCCATCTACTGGAGTGTGGTCCACCTGCCTGGGGCCACACCCTTAAAGAAAACTGACCCTCCTGCAGAGGTCATAAAGTGCACTAGCTCCTCAGCTAGGGTTGGGGATTCAGGAGCCCCTCCCCACACCACATTGAACTGTGCTGACATCCACAGCTGCTGAGGTCATGAGTGCAGCTGTCCTGTCCTTCCCAGAAGACACAGTTTCACTCCAGGCCTTGACCTTTCTCTTTCTGGCCCTTTTGCTGGATACCCCATGGGCCTTGTGGGGAAATGGTGTGACAGATGTCTGCACCTTGGTCACTTAGAGGTTAAGAAAGTGTGCAAATCTTTCAGAGGACCTGAGTTCTGTTCCCAGCACTCACACTCTGTCCTACAGCCACCTGTAACCCCAGCTCCAGGGGATCCAATGCCTCTGATCTCTGTGGATGCCTGCACTCACATGTATACTCAAACACAAACACACACAATGAAAAGAAAATAAATCTGACCCAGGCATGGCGGCTCATACCTTTAATCTCAGCACTCAGGAGACAGAAGCTGGTAGATCTCTCTGAGTTGGAGGCCAGTCTGGTCTAAATAAAAGAGGATCTGTTTCAAAAAATTAATAATTAAATCTTTTTTAAAAAATTATTTTTCCTTCCTTCCTTTCTTCCTCCCTCCCTTCCTCCCTCCTTCACTCCCTCCCTTCCCCTTCTTCTCTCCTTTGAGACAGCGTCTTCCTATGTATCCTAGACTAGCCTCACATTTATTAGGTAGCCCAGGCTGGCCTCAAACTTTTTATCTCTCTGCCTCCTCTTTGTAAGTGCAGGAACCAAATGAACCACCTCCACTTTAACTTTCCCTTTTTTTTGTGCTGCTGTAGGCCAAACCTGGGCTTTCTGCCTTCTAGGGGAGAGCTGGACACTCGATCTGAATCTCCACCATTTATTTTCTCTGTAATTTTTTTCTTTTAGATCTAACTTGCCTTGTGCCTAAGCTCAGAGCTGGGTACTACATGCAACAACCTTTGAGGAGAACTCTGGAGCAATGGGACAGTTAAGAAGTGAGGAAGCAGCTGAGTGGTGGTGGCACACGCCTTTAATCCCAGCACTTGGGAGGCAGAGGCAGGAGGATCTACTGTGAGCTCAAGAGCAGCATGATCTATAAGAGCTAGTTCCAGGACAGGCTCCAAAGAGGAAGCCATTATCTCTTTCTTCCTGTTCTTGCCTTAGTTTCCTCGGGGTGTTTTTCAGCCTACACAGGGCACAGTGAGGAGAATTTCCTGACAAAATGTTGTAACTGGCTTTTTCTTTCTGTAGAAATAGTATTTATGCTCTATAGCCGCCATAAGTAGACAAAAACTGGCTGAAACAGTTTTCAGCACTTTTCACTGAAAGGTTTAATTCAAGAGAATAAAGTGATAGTAGCAAGTGCAAATTTTCTATTGCTTCTAGGAGAGTATTTCTGAGAACACAGTTTATTTTCTTTGTTTCCAAGGTAACAGCACATCAGCCCAGCCAACTATAGGTTCACACAACATGGATGTGAATTTATTATTGTTTGTATAAAGCCTTGTTTCTACCTGGTAGATCATGTATCAAGGACAGTAGCCCGAAATGTGTCTAGAGACGACTGACAATTGAGACATGTCACTATGCCATCCCGAAAACAGAATATTTTTTAAAGCAAAAGAACACAGTGAGGCTAGAGGTGGACCTCAAGTTGTAGATCATTTGCCTAGCATTCACAAGGCTCTGGATTCCATCACCCAAACTGCAAAAAAAAAAGTAGTGCTGCACACCTGTGATCCCAGAGACACACGTGTAATCCCAGATGAACACATGTAATCCCAGAAGAACACATGCAATTCCAGGTGCACACATGTGGTCCCAGATGCACATATGTAATCCCAGATGAACACATGTAATCCCAGGTAAACACATGTAATCACAGCAATTGACAGGAAGGAAGATCAGGAACTCAAGGTTATCCTTGGAACATAGCAAGTCAGAGGCCAGCCTTGGCTACATAAAATCCTGACATAGAAAAAAAAAATACAGAGGAGTCAGAAACCAGATATGATGACACAGCCTGTAATCTCAGCAATTTGGGAGGTAGAGGCAGGAGGCCCTCAAGTCAAGACCAGCCTGGTGTACACAGAGTTTGGAGCCAGCCAAGGCCACATAATGAGACCACTATCTCCAAAATAAGGGGGGAATGTTCTTACACAAGAAGAATGAAGAATTTCTACAAAATTAATCAGTGTGAGATAGGAAATGGAATTTGAGGAAGATGGGCAAGAGTCCAGACCAGACAGTAAACACACTCGGGAACGGACCTCCGGTGTAGCTCAGGGAGGCAGCATGCCACAGAGGATGTAAACATGGCCCTGGACACTGGACAGTCCTGGATTCCAGTCCCAGTACTGTAGTTTACTGATGAGGTTAATTAGTTATCCTTGCTTGGCTGGCCTGTGGTAATGACACTTGCCTCATGAGATCTGGGGAATTAAAAGAGATGACACATGAAAGTAACTCTCCCCGGCACCCAGCACACAGCCATTTCCTAAGCAACAGTAATCCTAGTAAGGGCCAAGTAAGGAGCCTCTGTCAGAGAGACAAAGAGCATGGAGATGCAAATTGTGTCACTGTGAACTAAAATTTTATTACAGACGAAGGCTATCTGAGACCTCTCTTCAGATATGACAAGCTGCCAAGCAGAAGGTGTATGCATGTAACCGCAGCTCTCTGGAGGGCATAATGGAAGAATCACAAAATCCAGGCCAGCCTGGGCTACATAGCAAAACTTTATCATAAAAAAGTTTTGTATTTCAAATCCATCTACAATGTATAAAGATTTTGTATCTCTTCAATGGATGGAAAAGCGTGTACAAGAGTGAATGTGTGAGATCAGAGGACAAATTGCTGGAGATTCTCTCCTTCTACCATGTGGGCCCTGGGGATCCAACTCAGACTGTTTGGCTTGGTGCCATTTCACCAACCCTGCATAGATTTGTTTTGTTTTTTTGTGACAACAGATGAAGGCTCACAGGGATACAGTCAGAGTGCTAAGGACTTCCTGTCCAAATGTCTGCCTTGGTAAACAATATTTTCCAGGGTGGGAACTGCTCGCTCTGGTAGGGGAGGCTTGACCACCTTTGGCAGAGCTGTTGTTAGGAAATTCAGACCCAGGCTAGGTACTTGCAGAGGCCCCTTATGGCCTGCTTTACTCAGCTGCTTGACCTTAATATTATATACCCTGGATCATCTTCTGAACACGGAAGTGAGGTGAAGAATGGGCTGGGTAGAAAGAAACAGAGAACAGTATTCTCTCTGAAACATCTCCAGTGTCCTCAGGAAAAACAAGGCACACATTCAACTTACTCTGCAGCTATTGATTGGAGCTCACTTTGTGGTAAATTCTGTGCATGTCTGTAGGAATTCAGAGGCAAATCCAGCCAACCCACAAACCCTGTGATGCATATATTACAACAGGAAGATGAATCATAAAGTGGTCCAGGCCAATGCCAAAAGAAATGTCCGGCACACAGAACACAGAATGCACACCATTTTCTGTGAGTTTGGAGAAAGAGGTCCTTTCTTTTGGTCAGGCCCATAATCATGTATCATTCATAAGGCTTTGGACACACACCTCTTCTGAAGAGCATCAGTCACACGCTTGCCTTTCAACTTGAGAATTTGTTGCAGTCAGACTTCAGAAACTGAAGAAGCCAGTACCTACCAGGTTTCAGCATGCAGAGGAAGGTCTAGGGGCCTCAGCTTCAGAAGATGGGGAAATGGACAGGCAGCCGAGTGAAGTGTTGCACTTGGGAAGGTGGGGCAGGAGAATCCGAAGTTCTGATCAATTGACTCACTCAAGATGCTGCCACAAAATGAGGGGACAACATCAAAGACAGAAGTAAACAATTTCACTTGGCACGTAATTCCAAGCTAAAAAATATTACTGACATGTTTTTCATTTTGTAGTTGGTTGCTTGATGACATACACAGCCGGCCAACAACTCAACCCTTACATCCATTCACAGCACACCCACTTTGCCTCAATTACATCTTCTTCGTTCTCTGTAAGAATTTCTGAAGAAGCAACGTGTGAAGAATGGATTTTGAGTTGGGTGTACTGGTGCACACCTGTGACTTTGGCAGTCAAGAGACAGGATGACCACAGAAATGTCAAGGTCATTGGGGTGAATTCCAAGCAAGTCACCTCTATCTGGACAAATGGTTTGTTTTTTGAAAACAGGGTCTTCAACTAAGTAGGCAGCCAACGCTGACACGAACTTCTCACCTGCCTGCCTCCGCCTCCCTAGGGGTATGCCTCCACACCAGTGTTCACGCTTTTGGACACTGAGCCCAGGGTTTTGGCCATGCTAGACATGCAGTCAATCAACTGAATTAGCCCAGCACATGGGCTAATTTTAAATAGTCTTTCCATTATGACTCTCCACACTCACATTAGATGCTAACAGTCAAGATGGTAAGATTATAGTGTTAGTGGTGATGGTGGTGGTAGTGGTGGAGATGGTGATGATGATGGTAGAAGGTGATGGTGGTAGTGGTGGAGATGGTGATGATGGTATAAATGAAGAGCAGAACTCTGGCTGCAATGCCAATGGACTCACAGAATTGGTTCCCATGCTCTGAGAAGCAGATACAAGACAATCTTCATAACCAACACAAGAGGGACCTGTAACACAAAGGAAAATAGAGCTGGCTTCTAGAGAAAGCTCCCTTCTGAATCCCAGGAGAGAAACTGATGGCAACACTGCCACCTCCAAGATGCCTGTTCAGTGCCACAGTTCACCCTCAGCTGATCTGAAAGTCAACTGTTACCCTTCTGTTACTCAAATGACTCTATAGAAACATTAGGATCCAGGTATCTATTGCCTCCCACTTAATTAGACATGGCCTTGTGTACTCTTTTACTTATATTTACTTGGGCTCGGGGGAGGGGTTAAATACAGAAACTTAAATATCATGAAAAAATTCTAAGATACCTGTTCTGCATGGAAACAAGGAATGTAATCTTCACAACACACATCATTCTCACTTTGACAAAGGTAGCCAAGTAAGGTCACTTTGCATCCAGCTGGCATATATTCTTAAGGTGGGAGGGAAGAAAGAATGTATATAAGCAATCCAGTCTTCTGAGACTGGGATAAAATGAGAAACAGATGGGCTCTGATTCCAAACCGGAAATGTTTTGTTTTTTCTTTGGGAAGCTGGTTGATTAGTGATTGTAATCTGAACCCAAACCAGGAGACACATATAACTAACTTCACATAGCAACTCCCAAAGCACAGCTGGAAGTCAAGCTAGCAATAGCCTCTGGCTTGGAGAAGGGAGTGGAGCCCTTTGCCTCAATTACCTTGCTGCCTGGTGGAGGACTTCGTTCCAGGAATACTTGAAGAATTTCTGGTCCCTGGTGACTCAGGCTTGATTGGAACTCCATGCGTGACTATCACACTCAATGCTGTCTGCAGAGTGACAAGCAGAGACCCAGATGTCCTACATAGAGTAGGATGATGGTCTGGTCATGTATGGCAAGAACTTTTTTTGTTTGGGTTTGGTTTTGGTTTTGAGACACGGTTTCACTGTTTTCCTGACTGTCCTGAAACTCTCTGTAGAGCAGGGTGGCCTCAAACTCACAGAGATCCACCTGCCTCTGCCTCCCAAGTGCTGGGACTAAACGCATGTGCTTGGCTGAAGGCAAGAACTCTTATCACAGATTCCAACTTCAAGTTTTCATTTTGTTCCCAGGCCATTTGTTCCAACTGTAACACACCCAACACTCTCCTCCTGTCCTAAGTCTCTCTCCTCAAGCAACCCATTTCTAGAATGGCATGGCACTGGCTTTAACTTCTAGGCACATTTCCTCATGCTTTTCTCACATCAAAGTCATTTCTCACCCTCCAGAAGGTACCCAGATTCCAATTCCTCTCCACAATCTAATAGTTTATGTTCAAAAGCACAGGAGCAACCCATTTCTAGAATGGCATGGCACTGGCTTTGACTTCTAGGCACATTTCCTCACGCTTTTCTCACATCAAAGTCATTTCTCACCCTCCAGAAGGTACAGATTCCAATTCCTCTCCACAATCTAATAGTTTATGTTCAAAAGCACAGTCAGCGCTGGGCGTTGGTGGAACACGCCTTTAATTCCAGCACTCGGGAGGCAGAAGCAGGAGGATCTCTGTGAGTTCGAGACCACCCTTGTCTACAAGAGCTAGCTCCAGGACAGCCTCCAAAGCCACAGAGAAACCCTGTCTCAAAAAAATCACAGTCACATCCTGTTCAAACAATATTCCACCTAGATTTTTGTAAAGTCCACATTATTCTTTCTAAATGGCTACAGCAGCACTCACCTGCTATACCAGCACTCTGGGGGTTGAGGCAAATGCACTGCATGGACCACCGAGTGAGACTGTCTCAAACAAACAAAACAAAATACAAAATAAGAGATGCTGGTGGAAAATGGCTCAGAGGTTAATATTGTGCACTGTTTTTGCAGAGGACTTGAGCTCATGTCCCAGCACCCATCTCAAGTGATTCATAACCACTTGTATCTCCAGTTCCAGGGGATCCGATGTCATCTTCTGGCCACCAAGGGCACCTGCACTCATGTGCACAACCCCCTCTCAGACACATAATTTAAAATAGATCCTTTTGTTGTTTTTTCAAGAAAGGGTCTCTCTGTGTAGCCCTGGTTATCCTAGACCTCACTTTGTAAACCAGGATGTCCTCCAATTCAGAGATTTGTCTACTTATGCCTCTTGAGTGTGGGATTAAGGGCATGTGCCACCACCACCCAGCTTAAAATAAATCTTTAAATAAAGAAGAAGAGAAAGGAAAAGAAGAAGAAAGCCAGGTGCAGTGGGCCATATCTTTAACTTCAGCATTCAGGAGACAGAGGCAGGCTGACCTTTGTGAGCTCAAAGGCAGCCAGGGATACATAGTGAGATTCTGTCTCTAAAGAAAGTTTTCTGAAAAATAATATATACATTATTAGAGTTTTATTTACTAAATGAACATAAACAATTTAAAGAGGAAAAATCCTATGGCCTGGCAGGGTTGGAATAATTTACTTACACTATGATTTTTTTAAATATATGTGAATAATATTGACACAAATGTTTTAAAGGTTTCATATTATAAAAACATTAAAAATATTAAATAGTAACATTAAACTGAGACAGGTAGTATTAGATTACAGGTAGTATATGCTCCTAATCCAAGTACTTAGGGAACTAAAACAGGAAGCGTGACTCAAATTCAAGTTCAGCTTGGGATGAGTCCAGGCTAACCAAGGCTATATAGCAAGACCTTATCTCCAAAAAAGACAGACAGACAGACAGACAGACAGACAGACAGACAGACACACACACACACACACACACACACACACATACACACACACACACACACACACACGAAACCAGTAATAAATTATGCTAAAGTTCCATTTTGAGTAGGCATGACAGAGCATGCCTTTAACCCCAGCTCTCACAAGTAGAGTTCTTGGCAAGTTCAAGCAAGGTCAACATGGCCTAGATAATAAGAACCTGTCTCAAAAAATCAAAACAAAATAAAAAAAGATGGCAAGATTTTATGTTTCTAGTACGCATGTTTTTCCACTATAAAAGTTTTTTGGGGAAAAAAAAGGTATAATTTACAAATTATCAAAGCCAAGAGTCATGGCTCAATCTATAATTCCAGAACTTGGGAGGAACATGCAGGAGAATGAGGAGTTCAAGGTCATCCTTGGCTACATGCTGAGGCAGGAGGATTGCCTCAAGTTTGAGGGCCGGTTTCCAAAACGCAATAGGCTGGAGAAATGACTTAGCACAGTAGTTCTCAACCTTCCTAATGCTTCAACCCTTTAATACAGTTCCTCATGTTATGATGACCCCCAGCCATAAAATTAATTTTGCTGCTATTTCATAACTGTAATTTTGCTACTGTTATGAATCATAATGTAAATATCTGATATGCAGGTTATCCAATATGTGACCCCTGTGAAAGGTCATTCAATGCCCCCCAAAAGGATTGTGACCCACAGGTTGAGAATCACTAACTTAGTGGATAAGAGCACTCAAGGCATAAGCATGAGGTCCAAAGTTCAAATCCTAAGCACCCATATAATAAACCTGGTGTAGCCATGCTATAACCCAGCACTGTAAGATGTGGAGACAGGAGAATCACTGGGGAGTGCTGGCCACTAGTTTGGCTCTAGGCTTACTAGGAGACCCTGTCTCAGAGAATACAAGGACGGTGGTAGAACAGGACACTCACTGTCCTTCTCTGACTTTTTCATGAGCTCACACCCATGCATATACCCATGTGTTCATATTCCCCACACATATACCACACACATATCAATAAATAAACAAAGAAATAAACAACAAGTGTGATTGCAATATTTTCAGATCACCAAGAATATATCTATAAACCCCACTTTAAGTAATGTTGATATACACGGTGTGTGTGTGTGTGTGTGTGTGTGTGTGTGTGTGTGTGTGTGTATGCATGTCCCATGACCAAGTTAATTTTCAAGCTCTCTGTTGTTGTTGAGACAGGCTCATATGTAGAGACAGGCTCAGAGTAGAGACAGTATATTTTGATATGTAGCCAGCCTGATCTTGAACTTGCAAAGTCCCTCCCACCTACCTCTGGAGTGCTGAGTTTGCAAGGGTGTGCCAACATATCCAACAATGGTCAAGTTCTCATCATGCTCACCATTATTTGCTGAATTAAATATAAATTCCTCAGTTAACCTCTGGGGCCTGCCATATTCCATATATGTGGCTGCTATGATGCTGTCCCAAAACTTGAGCTTTTTTGTTTGTTTTGATGTGTGACTGGTGGCAGGGGTGGGGGTGTTGGTTGGGTTCCTTCTGATATGAGATTTCACTGTGTAGCCCAGGCTACCCTTGTAGTCACAGTCCTTACATACTGCCATACATAGCAAACCTGGACACTTACAAAGAACAAAATGTTTATCTTACAGTGATGGAGGACAAGAGGTCTAAGGTCAAGGTCTTGTTCTTTGGAGTCTGCTGAGGACCTTTCTATGATAGAAAACAGATAAGTGGACAGGAATGAATGCTGCATCCTCTTATACAAAAGTAGAGCCCTTGCCTAGCGTTTATGGGGCCCTGGATTCAATCTCCAGTACCTGAGGAGGGAAAACAGTTGAATAGTAGCTGAGCATGGTGGCACTCAAAAAACAGAGGCAGGAGGATTGCCAACAGTTTGAAACCAACCTAGGATTCTATAAGAAGACCAAGTCTCAGAACAAAACACAACCAGGGCTGGGACTGTAGCTCAGTTGGTAGAATACTTTTGGAGCCTGCAGGGAGCACTGAGTTTTATCTTAGTACTACTTAAAACCTGCATGGTGGCACAAGCCTGTGATCCCAACACTTGGGAGGTGGAGGCAAGAAAATCAAAGGTCAGCCTTAGCTGCACTGTGAGTTCATACACAGAGAGTTCGAGGCCAACCTGGACTTCATGAGACCATCTCAAAGACCCAAAAAGAAGGAATAGGAGGAATTAGAAGAGGAGAAGGAAGAGGAGAAAGGGAGTGCAGTGAAGGAAGTACTGGGAGAAAGAGAAAGATAATACATGGATAGATAGATAGATAGATAGATAGATAGATAGATAGATGGACGGACAGACCGACAGAAAGATATTCAAATAGATTCTATACTTGCAAGGCCTTTTAATACTATCACTAATCTACTAATGAGGGCAGAGGCCTTGTAAACTAACCACTGTCTATTAGGCTCCACCTCCATGTACTGCTGCATTGGAATCTAAGCTTCCACAGTTCATCTTAGATAAAGTCTAAGTTTCCAAGGAGCAACTAGGGACTAAGTTTCTAACATGTCAATGTTTGGGGATACATTCAGACCAGCTCTCTCTCTCTCTCTCTCTCTCTCTCTCTCTCTCTCTCTCTCTCTCCTTCTCTCTCTCTCTCTCTCTGTTTAAGCTTAACACCTTCCCTGGAGGTAGATGCAATAATGCTCATCTATAACCCAAGCATTTGGAAGGCAGACATGGGATCAAGAGTTGAAGCCCAGGCTGAACTACAAGACAAGATCCTATTTCTAAATTCTATTTCTAAAACAAACAAAAAAGGCCCTCACTGGAACAGCATACAATCCATAAGACTCGTTAGAAAGTTTCATCAAGACCTTCCTTACTTTAATTAATGAACTTCAAGTTCGGGCCGGGTGTTGGTGGCACACGCCTTTAATCCCAGCACTCCGGAGACAGAGGCAGGTGGATCTCTGTGAGTTCGAGGCCAGCCTGGTCTCCAGAGCGAGTGCCAGGATAGGCTCCAAAGCTACACAGAGAAACCCTATCTTGAAAAACCAAAAAAAAAAAAGAACTTCAAGTTCTTATTTTCTCCAGTATTTGCCTATTTCATTCCTTTTGCAGAAACTTCTCCCCTTCCCCGTTCTTGATCCCTTATGACCCAGTAACTTTTACCATAGATGGCCTCCTTTCAGAAAGTTATCCTTTATCTAAATACCAGGATAGACACCCTACCCATGGGTTCTAATAAAACAAATACCCTCTTACTATTTGCATGTCTCTCCCTGCACTATAATTCTCCATATCTGGTCTGTATTTCAGAGCGCAGGTGCACATTTTGCAGGCAGCTGTGGTGAGTCACTGATCCCTGTACTCAACTGAAGCTCAGAGTGTGAGTGACAGGGGTGGTGAAGCTGAGAAGGGCCACATGACACAAGGAGAGGGAGAGAGCTGATAACTGTCAAGGATCATGATTTCACCCTAAAGCCAGCAAAAACCACTTGAGTTAGCTTGATATGGGCACAACTCCATTTACAAGTGTGTGTGTGTGTGTGTGTGTGTGTGTGTGTGTGTGTACTGGAAGCAGGCAAGAACTCTTATCACACATTCCAACTTCAAGTTTTCAGCTTGTTTCCAGGCCATTTGTTCCAACTGTTCTGGGGCCTTGTACATGATAGGCAAGTATTCTCCAACTGAGGATGAACAAAGAAGGCCAACACTGGTTGGTTCTCTGGCCCCATAGTTACCATCTTCACTGATCTCTTGGGATCACTGCACAGTCTAGATCTCTTCTGATCCTTGACCTATTGCCAAACAGCACAGCTTTGGGTCCTCAGGCCCTTGTGGTAAGAGTTACATAACTGATGTTCTCGTGGGCCATAGACTGTAAATTAGTTCTTCCACTAAAGGAAGTAGAAGCAAAGGTCATGGTCTGGGACCAGAACTCCAGAATTAGCTTTCATTTCAGTTACTGCCAGTCACTACAGCTTAGCAGGCATGGACCTCCACATGGGGTTCTGTGCAGGGCTAATGAAATGACTCTGGAGTTCAGAGAAGAGGTTTTTCAGTGAGGAGAAGGGGAAAGTTAGATGGTTCCACAGTATG